CTGGAATATATGCCACTGCACTTTATGTTAGTGTGCAGATCACTTTACACAGTGTCTGGCACATCCCTAAGTGCTCAGGAGATAGTATCTGTTATTAGAATAATGAGGACTGAGAGCTTTTATTCACACAATAGATGCTGAGTCAGGCTGTGATGTATGCTAAGACAGATAAGAAGTGGAGAAGGAAGCAAAAGCCATGCATGGGACCACGCATAGAGACCAAGGCATGCGGGACAGAAGCAAAAAGTAGGTCTACAAGGTAAGACCGAGGCCAGGTATGGAGAAATCAAAATGTCCTCTACAACCATGCTGACCTAGTGCTAGCTCATCAGCGGGCTTCACCTTGGTGTGACTAATGTAAAAGATAGTCATTACAGGGATGACACACTTTCAAAACTGAGGAACACAAAGAAAGAAAGAATATAAGATTCCTATTTTTTTCATGGAATACTAAATGCAGCAGAGCATATGAACTGAATTCTTCATTTGTGCAATTAACTGTATGATTTCTTGTAAAAGGTATCTACTGTTTCTCATTAGAAAGATGAAAGTATTGAAACTTACAGGGAGAAATGGACCTCTTCAGTCCAGCTCATGGGTAATGTAATGACAAGCTTACATATCTGACCCACACCATCTCAAAAAGACTGCCTTTCAACCCTGCAACCTTCAGCATTTTCTAACACTAATTAAACCAAGAAACTTGCATCACTGGGTCTCGTCTCTCATTAAAATGACTTGTAAAACCTCAGACTATTATGCTATGGCATTTACCCACTTGAGTAATTATAGAAAAGAAATAAATGAGAGAAAGTCAGGAAAAAAACCAGTTCTTAGTTACGCTTTCCTTATTTCAACCCTGCACATAAGAACATAAATGTTTCTGGGTATGGTGGTATATTCCTATAACCCCAGTACTCAGGAGGCTGCAGCAGGAGGATTGCTGACCTGGGGAACCACTGACCTACAAAGTGAGTTCAAGGCCAATATGACCTACATAGCAAGATCCTGCTTCAAAAGACAAAATAAAAAAGAACATAACTTTTTCACCTGGAAGATTTCAGATAAGTAAATATGCTAATTTCTCAACCAAGACACTTTGTGAATTGAAGCATATTCTTTGAGCTTTGCTTTCTTCAAGAATGAAGTGGAGGAGTTGGGCTGGCATAGCTGTAAGATCCCTCCCAGGTAACAAATTATGTAAGTCTACGGTTCAAGCAAATCTTTTAAGGAAATATTTAAATATAAGGGAGGAGAAGGACACATCAGTAATCCAACTAAATACCCTTTGTCATAGAATTCTAGAAGTGTAACATGGGAGCTAATGTGGAACACAGTCATATTTAAATGATGATACATGAGAACGGGATTAATAGCATCACTCATTTGTGATAACGAGGGGAAAGAGAAAACAAGCACAGCGGCACCCACACGAAAACAAAGCCGGAAAAGTCCTCTGAGTCAGAAAAGGAACAAAACAGGTGAGAACACAATACTAAAGGCAAATCTGAACAAAGAGCTTCCATATGAGGGCCGTGAGAAAGGAAAGAGCGATGACAAACATTCTTCCAAAACCTCAGTGACTCCCGTCCTCTGGCAGCCTCCATGTAGCGGGCACTGTCTCACCGAGCACTGTCTTACCGCGCTTTCCCTCTGCACCGCACCCACCTGTGGAAGGGCTGGAGTCTTTCTGAGTAATCCCAGCAAGCAGGATCACGGTGCCTACAGCTTCTATTCTCTGTGCATGAGGGTCCCTTCCATTTAATAGCTCCTACAAAAGCTCTGGTCCCTTTTTACAGCACGTTCCATCACAGAGTGACTAAAGAGTAAATATTTATCACAAATCACACACTTAGATGGTAAGAACCAATCCGAATTGTCTTTCCCTAATATTTTAGGTAAAAAAGCACAATTTTTAAATGAAAACTGCCTTCTTCTGACTTGAGGTCTGCAGTATTCCACCATAGTCATATGAATTAGGTCTAGAAAATATTTCACAATCGAATAAAAGGAAAAATAAAGAAAAGGGGGAAACAATTGCAGATTTCCCTAGACTATGACTATTATAATATTTTTAAAAGAAAAAGAACATTAACATTAAAGGCTGAGAAGAAAGTTTAATCTGCCCAAGCCCACTCCCACAACATGATGACTGCTATGTACATTAACTCAGCAATCGTCATAGAATTTAAACCCTCCAAAGTTGTAAACAAAATATAGAGCACTCTTTTGTTCGTGACATGTCATGAACAAATTACCAAAATGTGTTTTCTCCTCAGGTGTCAGTTTTTCCCTCTTTTAGTGACTGATGGCTCCCAGTGTTATTACAGAAACAGATTGATCTTTTTAATGAGCCAGTTTAATAGACTCCAAAATCTCACCGTGGCTGCTCATCCATGTCAGACCATATGTACCAACAAAACATTCAGTAAAACAAAAAAAACTCTGCTGTCAGACAGCTCCATACTCTATAAAATTTCATATAGTAGAGCTGGATATACAGATAAATAACTAGGGGAGAAGATGATGGATATGCAAACAAGATGCAGGAAATATATTTTTAAAAAATACTGGAGAGGCCCATATTGCCTTGGCTCTGATCAAATCCCCATAAGATACAAATGTATTTACACAACAAATTCTCATTACCCTTCCTCCTAACTCTAAGGAAACCTATTTACCACCTTTCCATTATAACAAGTACGTCAGAATTCTACTTGAAAAAGGATGCTCCATCCAAAGATTAATTGTATCAATTCTGCTTCCAGCATCTGTCAGTGAGCAACCAAAGATACAGTAGCACGAAGGCTGCTTTGAAAGCCTGCTACCTGCCTGAATGCGCACACACAGCTACAGATCAGATCAAGAAGGCTGAGCACCCGTGGAGGCTAACAGGAAGTTTTCATGTTGATGTTGACACGCTACTCAGAGCTCACCATCAGGATTGCCCCCAGAAATTCTAAAGTTATGTTATATAACATACTAGCACTAGGGAGCTCACAGGTTTGAGTCCAGCCTGAACAACTTAGTGACTCAAAATAAAACAAAAAGGCTAGAGGTAGTTCAGAGGCATAGGACTTGTGTTCAATGCTCAATACCAAAAACAAAAATAAAAACAAAAACACCTATATACATATGAAAACCATTCCTCCTCACTCTTTAGCATTAACAGTATGAAACTATAAAATTAACATACACATATATACACATGCAGAGAGAGAGACAGAGACAGAGAGACGTGAGAAAGATGGGGGGGGTTGGGGGTGGAACAAAAGAGGGAGAGGGAGGGGGAGAGAAAGAACACAAGAGAGCCAGGGGGACCACTGCTTATATTAGAGCAATGAATAAGACAAGTTTTCGTATTCCCTATTTCAGTTATTTAGCAATTAGGAATTCTAGCTCAGGTCATGCTCCCTTTCAATTCTGCCTGAATGATTATCTTCATATTTATCACAGCTATCTAAACCTTTTCCTATGACATACTCCCCCAAAATGAGTCTTTTTCTTCCTAATGTACCATCCAATTCTCCTTAATTCTTTTCTCATATTATCCTAGCTATATGATGCTGCAATGTCTCAGTACTGCAGGCATTTCCTGCAGGGGCTCTGGCTGGACAGGAACATACACATCAATCAGCCTCCTTGAGTTAGTCCTCGGTTCTCTGCTCCTTGCGGACACCACCACTCAAACACCAGGAACAAGCAGCGTCCTTTATAGCAAACAAAAATGCACTATTCCATCTTAAACATGACCAAGAAAATATAACTTGCAATGACAAACAGTGTATCAGTGAATCATACAAGGAAGTAGATCTACAGTATGTTAGAAGTAAAGCAATAGTTAACCTTTGCTTTAGCAGTTTTAAATATTAAGGAGTCCTATGTTGAAACACAAAAAATTCCAGAGTTTGTAGGAAAAACTGCTTAGTAGAGGATTATATAATAACTATATGTAAACTGCTGGCTTTTAATAATACGCTGATCTTCACAGCAGCTAATAAATTTAAGGGTAACTAAGTCGGTCAGAGAAAGAGGTCTCTGAGTGGTTGCAAGGATCTTAAGCTCCTGTGAATCTAGAATGTAACTGTGCCAAGGTGTTCACCTCTCAAAAACAATTACAGCCATGCCTGGTGAAATACAGAAAAATAGAATGCATAAGTAAGAAAGGAAAGAGCATATGACCTGTAAATTCTAGAATACAACTTCATTTTAAGAGTCTCCATATTTCACAAATATGACATAAAATGCTGATAAGACTTCACATTCTTATGCCAGATAATAATTACCCGAGGATAAGGTATTTGTGAAAATTATTTTAATAAGGTAAGTGAAAAGTGCATGCATGCTTTATTCAGTAACTTATTTGCAGAGTTAATGGAGAAGGGTCTTCATTTTGCATATCACAAAACTCTCCATGAGACTAAAGTACCTGATGGCTAAATATCGGCTAGTAAATAAAACTTTTCAGCACGAATATCATATTTTAGGTCTGTTCTGTGTAACTGTCATCCTCATCCAGTTCAACTTTCTTCCTTAAAGTTTCCAATTAGTATCTACTAAACCCCATTCAAAAAGGTACTATACAGTGTTCACTGAGAGATACATAAGGGCCAGCTTTCAAAGTCATCCTGTTTTCAAGAAACTTGGAACAGCTAAATTGAAAGTACTAGAGGGTAAAATCTATGGTTGAGTGGAAGTATGTAATAAATGAGCTTTTTAATTCTGACATGTGTCTCAGAGCCCTTAGCAGTACTTGCAGATTTGAAAATCATTCATCTTAACCTCTAGCTTTAACACAGCAACACTGTAAGATTAACCTGCACAAAGGTACATTGACACAGGCCAGAGATTCCGTGCAACATGGCCAAGACAGTCACGCTGGCTGCCTGCTATTCTGCAAGAGATGGAGGCCAGCTGTTTAAATGAGACACAATACATGTCCCTGTACTACATGGGGTAAGAAGAGGCCATGGTTAGTCCAGAATCCTCAGCCCTCTCAC